CGGCACTGTGGGTAGACAATTCTCTGATTTCATATTTCATCCCTGGTGTTATGATGTGCCTTGCATGTCCCGCCAATCACCAGGTCAAATGGCCTGAACAACCGTCACGCAGCGTGATCGCTTATAATACAAATAAAGTAAATAGATATAGAGATTTAATATTAATGGAATATAGAATAAGTATCCGCATGGGCCACCTGCCACCTGTCACTGACAGCCCGTGGATCCATACAGAGTAATCAGTAATCTCGAAACTACACACACGGGCCACAACGTGACATTTTACCTACGAATGTATGGGTATATCTTTTCCGGGGATCTAGTGGTTAGTCAAACTAGGGCAAATAGGGAAAAGAGGGGAATATGAAATAGTGATTACAATAGTATACCGTACGAAGCAATCTATTTCCCGTGTCATACTATTTTCAGCCTAAACACTGGTGTACCATGCATCAGAGATCGGAATCGAGGGGATCGAGCTAGAGATCGACGTGTGCGAAGTTTCCAGACTACCAGGTTAGGCATGTCGCAGCTAGGATCTCCACCGGTGGAAACCGTTGAAACGCAAGCCACACCTTTTTTGCTTTTGTAGGTAAAGAGGGTACAGTAAGAAGACTTACATGCATGATCCCCTCTGGTTGGTCCCCAGTATTTGTCATTGCTAGCGGGTCTACTGAAAAGGGTAAAGATGTGCTGGAAATCTTTAATATATTCACTTTTAATCTATTTCGAACTGGGGAGTGTATAGATTAAAAGATCGAGAACTATCTATAGATCCAGTGGGGAACCCCTTTTTTGTCTCTTCTTTGAGATGTTTGAGAGTTGAGGTATTTTGCGACGAAGGACTCTGTGTAGCCATGTGGACAATCCTCGTGTAGAGATCGGAATTCCATACTTCTGGAAAAGCCGTTACTGAAAGAACCCGTCATCCTGGAATGCAACGTTGACTAGGGACTAGGGTGTACCCGAGATTGGACCTGTCACATTGGATTTTAGTTTATTGATTCCTTTATTGTTTTCGTGTACCAATCAGAGACACGGCAAGTATTTGAGATAGATCCTGGTCGACCTGCAGGGATCACCGCTGATCGTTAGTCCCGTGCACGATTATAGATGGATGAAGCAATGGTTGTCTGGAGCTCGAGCATCGAGCGTTGATCTAGACAGCTACAGTACAGCTTGAGTGGAACACCGTATGCTTTACTGTATAGTATCCATGATGTAATTGCCCCTTGTCACGTGTGATCTATAAGTTATCACCATCACTAGATACCCATTTACCCATTTACGGGCAATACAGTATATAGAATAGTATAATAGTCATTATACAGTTGTGACATGTTGACATCAGACATTGAATCGAAAATTCCAAGTAGCCCCGTAATTGGTGGGTCTCTCTTCGGGCTTCAGATTCGGGGACCACTCCTATGGTGCCCGATCCCCGATCTGTGGGAAACCGTTTGGGCCTACGTTGTCCCGCTGTCACATTATTTATTTTATTTTATTTCATTATTTATTTGTTTTACAATAGTCACAGAGTCTTCGTATAGATCTAAGCTACTATATTCTATATTTTTATATTTCTACTTTGGATGTCTATTCCACATCTAGACAGTATTCCATTTCTACTCCGTATTCTATTTCCAACCTCCTTTTCCAGAAAATCCTAAACAAAAGCGATGGAGAACGGGCCAAGGCCCCACACGGGAAGAGATGGCATGAACCAGTTCGCTTGGGAAATCCAGTTTACATGTGTACAGTGCACATGTGCAAGTACCTGTACTTGTATAGAGAGGCGGATGGGCGGTACAGCTTCCAGCGGCTTAGCCCTATCCTAAGTAAACTCAATCGTTATTATCCATGTATGGAGAGAGGAACTGGTATTGGGTATTGGGTACTATGGGCAAGTGGGTATTGTGTCCTGTTTTCTGATTTATCAATTCCTAGTTTCGCCTATTGTTCAAATAGGTAAACGGTAAATAGTGTGAAGTCAAAGGTCCATGTAAATCCCAGACCGTTCAACGTCACTCTAGGGGCCGTGAGGAGGAGGTGGAACCTGTCCGTCGCAAATTCTGTCACAGAATTTTTATCAGTGTCCACCGGACCCTCAAGACCGAATATCTCCATTGCAAATGGTTCGAGGCTTTTGTCGGAGTTTGGGTCTGGCCCCTTTTTTGAGGCTCAGGGGGGCTAAAGGTGAGACTTGAGACTTAGGCCCGGTTTGCAGAGGGCTGAGGGCTGAGGGGGCGCGTAACAACGGCCTCCCGTTTGAGGCTGTATTGTGTCCTAATTGGGGTTCTAGTTGCGAAGCCATGCGTTCCTTTTCCGACTATCTCGGATTTCTAGTCCCAAATTGAGAGATCCCGGATTGTTTGTTCCATGATGCAATATATTACTATTTACATACTCAGCTGTCTATACAGTCATAAGGGTTGTGGGATTCTCAGCCACATGAGGGTATATTATAGACTATTCAGGACATTGTAGTCGTACTTCGCCTATATCACCTACATCCGGAACAATAGATTCAAACAGGAATGATACACATTGTACGGAATGCAAAATACAATAAAGTCAACCCAATAAAATCACTTGACCAAGACGTAACACAAGCCTTGAGTTGCAACAAATCCTGCCATGTATATCGCTGTACACACGATATATGTATATCTCAACCTTAACAACACTCTACACCAACAACAACCACCAACCAACCTAATAAACTCCAATAATTAATCTAAAAAAAACCTAGTAAACAATAAACCTCAGAGCAAACAGCCAAAAAGCCAGAACGCCAAAGACAGCGGCTAATCGACCCGTCCAACGCCATTCACAATCCAGTGGCTGACACCCCACCCGCGCCACACCAGTCACAGCACCGCACAACAGGGCTGGCATCCACAGTGGCCACACCAGACTAGGATACAGTATGAGATATGACACCGCACATGGGGTGGCAATGCCACGGGTGGAGCGGTGCATGATTCTCGTGGGCGTGCGAAACCGAAGCGTTGCGAAGCGAACGGGCTTACACGGCTGAGACTGCGGATGGTGATGTGGTTATGCAAGGGATTTCGACTTCGGTTTCGTTTATGTATATGCATGTATGTATAGTATTGGGTTGGGCCGGGATTAACGTTCAAGGAGATATTTGCATGTATCCAGCTCATGGATAGGAAATAGATCTTAGTAGAAACACATCATTTCTCTTGGCTATACATTGGAGGTGTTTAACCTCCGAAGATCACCGCGCTCAGACACTGGTACATGTATGTATGCACATCACCGTTTCCCGTCACAGTCACCATCACCACAGTACTACTATACGTGGTATGATTCCCATCCCAACCAAGTTCCCGATCCAAGAAGCAGATTGCAAATAAATCCCCGACACTCGTGGACCAGGACCATGTGGACGAAATCTCGCCTGGAAAGCTGCAGCCCGGGGTCCCAGGCAAAGGTGATGAAAGACGGCAACGCACATATCCAGGTCTCCGAGCCCCCGAACCCCCAAGCCCCGAGAAGAGAGAAAGAGAAGGCGAGACACAGGTATTGCCATGTGACATTGCCCGTGGGACTGGGGCTAGGGGTAGTGGGATGACCTTGCTGGTTACCGTTTACCAATTACCGGCTACCAGTAGAATCTTATCGATTTCTGGACTGCTGTATGTTGGCTGGAACCGGTTGGCCAGTGACAGTGCCAGTAACAGCCATGGTGTAAGGGATATGCAATAGAGCCGATAGATGTACGTGTGCGTGGGGGTGTGCATGCGAATATCCTGTTTCTAGTTCAAGTTCTGGTTCTCATTCTACTCCAGCCTCAGTCACGCGTGTCAATTAGACTGGGGTAGCTTGTTAGTTGTGTTCTGTTCTGTTTTTGGCGTTGGGGTAGGTTTGCATGTGCTATGCTGTATTCTTGTGTTCGTGTGGTAACTCTACTTAGATTCGATGTATCATTCCAGCGCCAAGTACCCAGGTTCTTGAGATGGTGGATTAGACGGGAGGGCGTCATCCGTGCCTCTCTATCTCGTATAGGAGTTCGTAAAGTCAGGAGTTATCTGTCTCAGGACCACCCAACACCCAACAGACCCCGTCTCGGTAAGGCAATGTCTCGGATTGAGGGCATGACAGAGGACGCCAGTGAATTGAGTCCTGTGAAAGCATTGACGGATTGGCAAGGGTTAGCGATGGGGATAGTGCGTATCGGCTTAGTTCGGGTCGGTCCTGCATACAAAGAAATTGGTCCTGTGTATAGTATGTATCAGTATCAGTACCAACCTAAGCATGAGTATCGCCGCCAGTGCTCCGTACCGGCACGAGTATCAAGTATGTACATGCACAAGTACTGTATCTCGGATAGAGTGATGTGGACACAGCTTGATACAGTACATGTTCCACCCTGGAACGCATGGTGCAGTCGGGGATAAGTGGTATTGTAGGCAGGGGCAAGGGTAGGAGAGGGCAGGCTGTGAGATGTCATCCTGCACTGGTGCAGGAGGGATGTGTAGGTTTAGCATGACGACCATCGAAGTAGCTGGGTATTCAATTCTGGTTAGAGTCGACCGGACCCGTTGAAACGAGTAGGTATGGCATGGCAAGCCGAGCATGAGCATGAGCATGTGGCGACAGGGATAGGAACGAGATGAGAAAACAAATGTGTTGTAGACATGCTATTCAATATATTCAGCACATGGTACAAGGCTACTCCGTACATAGAAAATTTTCCACAGTCCAAGGGCAGGGAAGGAACCGCTGTCTCAATTTCAAGCTGGACAGACTCTTTGCATAATGTCCAATGGTACAAAAATCACAAACACCACATGTAGATAATCCCTAAGTCCATTACATAGATGACCGAACCCAAAACCCAGAAATAAAAAAGGTAGATATGACCCAGATGCAAGAAATGAAATGAAATAGAAGTCAAGTAGAGAAAAGAAAAAAAGAGAAAAAGACAAAGAAAAAGTAAATCGCTCAAGGGGTATAAATCGCTGTGCACATCATAACCAGATATCGCCTTCTTCGCCATTGACCCATTGTGCCCACACAGCCTCATAAGCGTCTTCAAGGTCACGCACCCAGCGCGCCGTATCAAAGAGCTTATTCTTATACCGCTCTCGGAACAGCATCTGTCGAAGCTCCGGCAGTCGACCGCGGCCCTCGCCTGTAGAAGGATAATGCAGATCCATACAAAGCCGAATAGCCTTGTTCTCATAGTCCTCGACGGAGCAAGCAATGAGATCATCGCGGGCATGCTGGCCAGCTTCAGATTTGGGAAGGGCACTGCTGAGAATACTGCTCGCCATGCGCGAGCACATCTTGTACTTGTAGCGTGGGAGGGTGAGCAGCGGGGTGCCGCTCCAGAGGACGTCGGTGGCTGTAGTGTGGGCGTTGCATTCGGGGGTATCAAGAAACAGGTCTAGGATCTTCGCTCGCGCGATGTGTGTGTTCTTTGGTGCGACGTCTGTGAAGATGATTCGGGATGCCGTTTCTTCGCCGGCCCAGGCTTTGGCGATGTCGCGGAGGTTTTGCTCGCCCAGGTCTGGGAAGCGGAGGAGCCAAAGAACGGCATTGGGGATGCGCGCTAGGATGCGCAACCATGTTCGGAACGTTGTGGGTTCAATCTGGCGTCGGTTAGTTGGGGTCAGGGCGAAGTGAGCATAGCAAGACATACCTTGTACAGCTGGTTGAAATTACCCAGGATGATGGTATCATCGCTCAAATTAGGGAATAGTTCCTTGCGCATCTTCCACCGCCGGGCTTGCTCTTCTTCCCAGGATACATGCTTTTCGCCAGCATCTGGGGCACTCTGCCGGTGATCACAGCAGAAGAAAGTATCACGGGTGAAGACAATCTTCTCTCCGTAAACCCAATCCTCGAGCTCCTCGCCATTGTCCTCTTCCAAAAGACGTTCCTCAATACGCGTCGTACGGCGTCCAGGGCTCAAAGTCTCGGGCGGAATGGAAAGAGTGTCGGCAAGAATGTAGTCACACCACTCAGCACCAAGCGTGCCCGCAAAGCCCATGAACGACATATGAATGGGTGCCGGACGAGCTGCAAAGACCTCATTGCGAGCACCACGAGTGTAGCCGTTCAAGTTGACCAGAATGTGGATGCCATCCTCGACAATCTGCTGGACCAATCGATCAACTGACCACCCACTTGCATCATGGAAGACAGATGATTCCTTCTCGATCTGCTGACGATGCACTGATTTGTCACTGGGGGTGGTAGCATAGCAGTATGACCTGACCCTAGAAGGATTGTGCAGTCCAAAGACCGACTGCATCAAATGTGCAAGAGGATGGTTGTTAAAGTCCGACGACACATATCCAACACGAAGATACGGACTCGGCGGAGAAGGTGGCGGGAAGACTGTGGGAGGAAGCCACGGAAGTCGCAGAGTTGAAGTCGAAATGCGCAGACCATTCCGCTGGGAGATCTGACGGATCTGCTTGGCCGACAAGGGACAGGTGAATGTATGGAAAGGCAAGACTGTAGGAGCACTAGGAGCAGAAAGAGCGCCAGGAAGTTGAGGCCGACGGTACTTCGAAGCAGGGTAGTCTTTACCATAGACATAACGGTCCTGGTACCATTGCCAGGTAAGAGATCGAATGGCTCGTTCGATGAGCCGAACAATCCGGGATCCTTCCCATTTCCGTCCAGCCCAAGACTGAAAGAGCTTTTCCAGGGAGCTTCGCTGACTGGAAGAGAAACGGCTAGAATCTAAAGCGGGTGCCAACTGTAGACACAACTGCTCTGCCGTGCTTGTAGTCAACAAGCCACGGCCCCAATATTCGCCTTCTTTGAGTTGCCGATCAACAATGTCGACAACCCTCTTAATCCATCCAGATCCGGTGTCAGTGCTCAGAGAATCTCGAAGCATCCCCTTTTCATCGACATGCCACCGGTCGCGGAAGCCACGAGCATTGGTGATACCACCACGGCCGACCCAATTGCAGACGGAGTTCAAAGCATTCGCCAATCCGCAAACCGCCTCGGCAAACTCGGGGTTGACCTTGACGGCGCGCTTGTAGTAGGAGATGGCATCATTGACCTTGCCAGCGTCCTTAACCGCATTGGCCAGGTTTGCCAAGGCAATATCGAAATTACCATCGCATTGAACAGCCTGCTCGTACATCTTGATAGCAGCCTGAAGTTGGCCAATATCCTTAAGCAGACTTCCAAGATTGGTGTAAAGATGGGCATGTCGTGAATCAAGATGCAAGCCATAGTTGTAGTATGCCAGGGCCAAGGATATTCCACTACCAGGAACAACACCGGGGATCTCAGGGTGCTGGCTCTCTCCGTTTGGGCGGACCAAGCCTCTGGCCGGTGGATTGTTGTGAATACCGGCCAGCAAAATACCCACATTGTTAGCGGTAGATGGACTAGGCTGAAGAGAGAGGGAGAGGTAGTAGAGGGCCAAAATGTCCCGCACGCCAGGTGTAGACCTAGGTGCTCCTGATGAGACGTTGGACATGCCATCCTGGTAGATCTTCGCCAACGAAAGAAGAGAGTTACTGGTAGTTGAAATGGCCGCATTGCGAGCCATACCTTCAGCAACAAACTGAAGCCCCGGCGGCATCCCACCAGCTTGGAAAACAAGCTTGGCGGTTTTCAATGCTCTATCAGGGTAAAGGAGAATGCTTTCCTTGGACTCGTGCTCTGTTTGAGGATATCCACTGGGTCCACCAGAGAAGGCAGCAAAGATCTGCTTGATAATGCTTTGGATGCCATGGCGTCTTCGACCAGCGGCGATGAGAACTGCATCCTCGAATGCAGATGCAGCGCCGGCATTATCACCGAGAGCATAGAGCATGTTTCCTTTGGCGTGGATCAAAGCTAGCATTCGTCCATTGTCTGAACCAGGAATTGCATATCCACTGGTTGCGAAACCAATGGGCTTAGCATCTGGCGAGCCAGGTTCCAAACCCTGAACGCGTCCCAAGTCATCGTCGTATTCGAACGATGCTTTATCAAACATGCAGACATCGGACACGTTACTCTCCGCATCACTTTCAGGCTCACTGGCATGTTCATCCGTCTTGAAGCAATCGCCATCCTTGGGGTGGCGAAGGGAGTTCTGAACGAAGTCAATAATATTGACCGCTTCCTTGCCTCGATGACTGCTGCACAGTAAACCGATCAGATGTTCGACTGCTTCGAAGAAACTCGGACGTAACTTCACAGCCCGCAACCAATTTTGCAAGGCTTCCTCTCTTTGATCGAGTGCCAAAAGGGTTGCAGCGAGGTTGGAGATCGCTTCTACGTGTCTGGTATTTGTTAATAATGATTGTCAATTAAAAGGTGATATACTCACGTTGAGTCGCGTGCGATGATTCTAGAGTACCATCGTGTGGCTTTGTGATAGTCACCTAAGCCATAGGCTAAACAGCCTCCAAGGAGCATTCCGTCGATCCATTCCCATCGGCTTTCTGCACACAAATGAGATAACATGTCCAGGGCGGATACAGCATTGGATCCCGGGGATCCCTCGTTGAAAAGCGTGCCACAGGCTCGAGTAAATGGAGATACACCTGTGGGACGACCAGTGTCGCGCAATCCGAGCATTTGTGTATCGGACCCTCTGTTATGGGTGAATTGATTCAAAGACGGGCGTCGACTGTGGGCACCAGGTAAAGGTATTTGCTGCGCATCATGCGGTCTGGCGTTTCCCATGGCATGCAGTTTCTGTCGTTGAAGATCATATTGACTAGCGGGGTAACTGTTATGACGGGTAAGATCTGGGGGAGTGGGTTGAGAGAAATCAAGGCCGGGTTGGCGAGGAGGTTTAGGGTAAATGACAGGTTTTTGGAATCGGGGGTGGGCATCCACGGTGCCGTTGGAGATGCTGTTGCGGCGGGCCTGATGGATATTCGCAAGGAGATCGACATAAACACCATGGGCCCAAGACAAGACCTTTTCTTTGAATTCCACGTTAGCTGCTACAGCAGGCCCTGGCCGCTGGAACCCATGTGTCGGCGGGCGGCTGTTCCAGGTGATAGGATCATTCAGAGGCTGCGGCGCTTGCGGTGGAAATGCTGATGCAGGTCGGTTGACACGGGCGTGGAAAGGTAGTTGATCGGAATGGCGTGGAGGAAAGTGGGTTTTCATAGAAGGATCCTGGGGTAATCCGGGCATAGATTGACCCCATGCAAGCCCCGGGTCTGCACGACTGCCCAACGGCACTTGGGGTTGGTTAAATACCGGCTGGTTCAGGTCATAAAAAGGCTGGCCCGTAGGGTTCAGCTGTTTTGCAAACGGGGTCGGGGATTCGTAACGCGCATCACGGAAGGCAGCAGGACGGTATGGGATATACACCCCGTCCGGCCAATACGGTCCATAGGGACCACTGCCCGCCGAAGCGGTTGGTCCAAGGCATGACTGTAGAGTTGCTGGGAGGACTGTGGGCACATATGCCCCGTTCTGTAAAAGTATGCGTTGATTTCCATGCAGAGGTAGACTCTGATTTAAGACGGAGTCCACCCCCGGTGGATAGTTGACCGGACGAACCCAACTAGTCCCATTCGCATCCTGAATAACTTCGCCAGGCATCGCATTACCGTCGTTTTTGAAGACCGGCGGAAAGTTCATGTGTTTGGTGGCGGACTGGTCCAACATGGGCTGCCAATTTTCGGGCTGCATCCCAGCCTGTGACAGAAATTGGCCCGATTCCATCGGCGAGACCAAGATGTGCTTGGATGCTGGCTGGATTGTGGTATCGCCGGGGGTCCCATCGTACCCCGCGGCCAGGGTTCCGTTGGGAGTCTTCCGTCGCAGGGTATGCTCCCCCCATTCGCGGTGGAGCTGGAACCTGAAGCATCGCGGGAATCGAGACGTTGCACCGGGTGGGGGAGTTGGAGGCGCGATCGAGAGATAGGGTTCAAGAAGGATTTGGAGGGGTCGTTGCGAAAGGGGAGACTGTCGCTCGCATCGTACATGGGTTGAGAGCCATCGTGAGTCGGGTAGTGGTGTGTGCGGTGGTGCGGTTGGACCGTGGGGAAAGGCGCGACGGTTGGAATCATCTTCACGGTCTTGGGAGGTACCTCGATGCCGAGGGCACAGCCAAAGACTTAACACATCAAACGGGACATTCAACTATCATCCTTGAAACGTTTCCGATGCCTCATTATGTGATGCCAGAACTGGAGATGTGAAGCAGCTTTCACGTCATTCGATAAGGACAGGTGGAAATGAGAAAGACGCAAGGGAGACAGAATGTCCAGCCCACGATGTTGGTATCCGAGACGATCAGCCAATAAAAGGCGATCTTGGCGAGGATTGCACAGGGGATAATGAAGGAGGTCACAGAGGGAAAGGCAAAGGAGAGAGGTGAGGAAGAAAAGATCAAAGTTGAAGCTGAAAGCACAGTGGATTCGGGTGGGGGTGAGAATCGAAGTAAATTAATAGTGCAGGCAACAAACTATAACTGAGTAGATAGAATAATAATAGTATAGAGTATAGAGTATAGAGTATATAATTTATAACATAACTGCTATTCACTGCTAAATAACTCTCTATAACTACTAACCCATCACCATCGCCATCGCCATAGCCTCACCTCGCAACTCAACTCATCACCTCGACCCACATCCAACGGCCTCTCTGGCCATCCAGACGCCCCAGTGGATCTTTTGGCTCCATAGCTAAGGCCCCGCCGATAATCGAGTGCCCGTTCACGGATCCTGCTATACTCCGTCGAGTATGAGGTTCTATCTCTCTGACTATACTCAACTCTCAACGCTTCAACAACACTTCAACAACACTGCAACACTCCTTCAACACTCCTCTCCTATAAATATATAACCGCTCAAGCCCATCTCGCCCCCTGCCGCCTCACCTCCGATCCTTTCCTAACCCGGCTGAATTCTGGGGTTAGCAAGGGAGGACTATTTTCCCCTTTGATTCGTATTATCTGAATACCTGGACTTTAACTACTGCAGATCCTCATATCAGAGTCCACATGCCTCTAGACACTGCACACGGTCGCACTCTAAGTCACCGAGAATCTATGTCACAAGTCGAGATCAGCACACCCTGTCGCATCCTTGGCCTGCACGACGTTCCCGTGTGGATGCGATTCGGGTAGTACAAGAGAAGGCAGAATCAAACAAGGAGTAATAATAAATAATAAATACTCTGTATTGTAGGTCATATTAAGAGAGATAGAGAGAAAGAAGAAGAGAAAGAGAAGACGGACATATCCACATGATATTCCCCGGCCCCATTCGTCCCAGTTATCCCAGGGCACTTGTTCCATGGCCTCAATAGACTGCGCCAAACAGGATGGAGAAAAGACGAAAATCAAAGCGATCAGCGCTGCTCCACATGTGGATGAGCACGAACATCGTCTTATCAGGGGGTGATCACCGGTGGAGTATGATGATTAGTGAAAAAAAATATATAAAATTACACGTCTCACACCGGTGAGCCACGTAGGTCCACATATACAGCATCCTGAGACTTGGACAAATAAATAAGGGAGACAACAGATAGCATCGATGAAGTTCTTATTGGTGGCGACGTGGCTCGAGGCTGTTTGTGGTTGTTTGGCTGTTTCAGATTGTTAGGACGCTATATATATATTTATATACATCTACTGACTACGGAGTGCATCCCTGGCAATACTTCCAAGCCTACTATTTCCAGCCAACTCGCAACAGCTGATCAATATATGTACAGCTTCAGCATCTCTATATCACCATATATGTATGCGACCCCAACAGCATTCACACTATCGAGATCCCTTACCTACCGCTCCTCTTCGATCACACACCTACTCTCGATATTGTTTGACCGTCTTTTGACCGTCTTTTGATTGTGTTTGGCCACACACACAAACTATCGTCAGCCCAAGCCCCGCGAATAGAAACCGTTTTGCGGCAGTGCCGGGCGCAGCCCTGCTTGTGCATATGGATATGCACGCCGAGAACTCGCATGCAGGATAGCCTGGGTTGGGTGAGAGGTGGCTTGTGTAAGCGTAGCGACGCCAACATTGACATGGTATTCTACTCAGCTGGGATACTGTAGCAAGAGTAGCCAAAATTGAGGAACTTAATTGATATATCAGAATAACGGAAAAATCGGTAAGATTTGTTTCCCTGAAACGGGGGACATCATATTTTTCATTAAGCTTCGCAGTCATCCTATAAGTACTAGTAGAGATCTGGACAGACCTGTCTATAACTACAGCCTACGAAAGCAAGTATCTTGCATCTCCAAGAGATGTAGACCCGTATGATGGATCACTGCACCCACGGAGCGAACTCCAAGTGTACCGCGATGAGTAATGGGACCGAATTTAATCTTCCCCACTTAAAATAAGCCGCATACCACGTCGTGATATGATCAAACCCCGCAGGGAGAGAACGGTAAGGGCCAGAGTGTTGTGGGGTTTCAATCGAAGGAGACTGTCGGCTGCGCCGGGTAGCCTTCCACCATTCTCATCGCGTAGGAAGAAGCAAGAGAATCATGGAAGGAGAACGAGGGAAAAAAAAGAAAAGGAGAAATACAACCGGAAGAACAAGCAGCGAGCTGATTCCATTTGTCCAATTGAACACTCGCAAGAGAATTAAGAAAAGGTATCAAAGGTCATGACTCATGAACATTTTTGGTTTGGGTTGAGAAACCGTTCGTATTCTGCAACTAGCATCTCATCATTAAGAAATGCACGCCTTAGAAATCAGACAGGCCACCTCTTTTTTGACACTCGAGAGTGAAATAATTTATTCCTCGGGAACTAAGACATCATTAGTATTGATCAATTGACACACAACCGAGTCAACTCACTGTCAATCTCGCCAGCCTTGACATCGTCGGAGACATCCTTGGGGCTGCGGCCGTCGACCTGGCAGCCGACAGAGAAGGCAGTACCGAGGATCTCGAGGACGGTACCGCGGAGCTCCTTGGCCATGGAGCGCTCACGCATGACACGGGCCATGTCAATGATCTCATCCAGAGGGACGGACTTGGAGTGCTTGATGTTCTTCTCCTTCTTGCGGTCACGGGGAGGCTCCTTGAGGGCCTTGATAACCAGGGAAGAGGCGGAGGGAACAACGGAGACGGCGGCCTGACGGTTCTGGATGGTCAAGCGGACGGTGACACGGATACCCTTCCAGTCGCCAGTGTTCTTGGCGATGTCTTCACCAATCTTCTTGGGAGACAGACCGAGGGGACCGATCTTGGGGGCCAGAGCGGACTGGGCACCGACCTCACCACCAGTCACACGCAGGTGGCTATAGTAAAGATTATTAGTATTTTGAGGGTTGATGTTGCCAAAAGAGAATTTTTCACTTACATGATCTTCACCTCATTGGGGTCAAACTTGGGAGCTAGACCACGAGGGAATGTTAGTCGCCATCATGCAGAAAACCAGGTTGATGATACTTACGCATGGCGAGTGCGAAAGGTAGTCGATCTTCCTTGGTTGTCGAAGAAGTTGGTTACAGAAGAGAAGGGGGATGAGCGCGAGAAATTGACTTGAAGGACTGGCGTGCTAGCGGGACCCACTCAACCGACGAACTAAGCGAGTGGCCCAATTGGGCGATCAGGGCATGCCCTCACCACGTGACCGACATGGAGGTGGTTACCTCTTTGGGTATTCTGTATCTAGGTGGGGACGCTATTACGTAAAGTTCTTACAAAGCTTCAAGATGAAACACAAGTCTTTTGTCATGGTATCAATCCATTCAATCTACTATATTGCGTCAAAGGAGTTAAATCACCGCTAAAGATACACAAGACCCGAGGGTCGACGACCGCCCTTTGCTCTCATGGCCATGTCTCATCACACTTAGCTAGTTCCGGATACAGCAAGCCTAGGCAAATGTTAGCAAAGATCCACATAAGCTACTCAGGGACCACTCACTTCATCAGGTGGTCCATAAATGTCTGCAGCGACACGTCGTCAGTGAAGATGGTCTGAGACGACACACCCCCACCATATCCACCCGTGGTGTGGGTAGTCGACGGGTTCAGCTTGGACAGCAAGAAACGGGCTTGAGAGCCACCGGCATCGCAGACGATGAAACGGGGCAGAGGGAAACGGTCAGCAATGAGATCCTGCAACACATGAGTCAGCTAAAATAAGACATAAATTTCGGAAAGGTGGAACGAACCCTAGCGTCCTCCTTAGGCTGCTCAAGGAGCACCTTGAGGTTCTCGTACCCTTCCTGGTCCTGGTAACCCGCTTTCCTCCATTCGGCAATGGTCTCACCGTGGAAAATGAGGATGTGAAAGAAGGTATCGAGGAGAAGAATGTGCGCGGGCTGGATAGAAGCGGAGTCCAGAAGCACGGGTTGAGCTCCCTCTTGCTCCAGGGAGTATGAGTCGAGGGTAGGCTGGATCATGACAAGAGAATCGCCGGCATCCTCGTGGTTCAAGACATGACGGTAGAAAGCAGTCTCATCAGGGGAATTGTTGAACACCTGCAAGAACTGGCTTCGGCGAAGATGGAACATGAACTGAGGGTAGAGGGTGAAGTTCTTTTCCAATCGGAATGATGTTGGGTCATCCTTGCGGTAGTCGGCAAAGCGAGAGCAGAGTCTGATCAACATCCGGTCAACCCACCGCAGAACATCCGGGCCGTCATCAACCTCGGCCTTGAAGACTGCGATACGGGCCATGAGAACAGCAGCAGCTTCCTGGTCGAAGGACTGTGCCAGGGTTGGGTCACCAGCAGGCCCGCTCAGGGGACGAGCAGTGGTGGTCACCCGCAGGTGGTAGTGCCCGGAAGAATGCTGGTAGTATGTCAAGAACTGCATCATACCCCGCTGAGGACCAGGCTGCACGGCAGCGGGACCACCCTGATTGGCAATCTCGAAGTAAACACCATAGCTGGAAGAGGGGTCGATACCGCACATCTTCCATGCGCAAGTGTTACCGATACCACATTCTGTCTCGCCAACAGAGCTGGACTTCTTGTTCAGGGAAATAGCGTGGCCGATAAGACCAGTAACCTTGAGCTCCTTAGTTGTGAGAACCTCGAGAGATGCGTTGAAGCCCATCAGGAGGTTGTCGTTGGCATCCTTGTCGAACACGCGCACGAACGACTGCTTGAATTGTGACGAGGTGAAGCTATCCGTGAGAAGCATGTGACCTCCGGTGTAATTGGAGAGGTTCTTCATTTCCAAGAGACCAACTTGATCGAGACAGCCGGCGAAGATATCGACAATGTGGCCATTGTTGGCAGCCCGCTTGGCAAGGGTGTCGTAGAACTGTACTTCAGTTAGCATGAATTCAGACAGGCTGGCGCATTCGAAGCATACCTTGACAGCCTTCTTGTAGTACTTGATGTTGTCCCGGTCAATGTCGTGGTGAGAACGGATGGGCTCCTTCAACTCGGGTGAAACAACGTGACCAGGGCCTTCAGTGGCAGCACCACTGGTGAAAGTCATGATGCGGGCTCCCGCATTCTGGAAGGAAGTCTCAAGCAGACCAACGGCGACGCTCAACGCGACACCAGTGCAGCGCAGGGGACGCTTATCGTTGGCCACTGGCCAGGGATCACGCTGCAATTGCTCGAGGACGTTGGTGATTTGAAATTCGGCCTGCTGAACGGGCATGAGGAAGCGGGCAGCTGGGCCGAGGGGAGGACGGGCGGGTTGCTGCTGAGGAACACCAGGGCGGACGCCACCGGCCAAGCCCAGCATCTCCTGAACTTGCTTCGCGGTGTATTCCTTGCTGCCTCGGAAGACGTATGACTTGGCGCATTCCGTGTAACCGAGCTCATGAACTTGGGCCTAAACAAGGTCAATAAATTGCCACCTTCCGTCTAAAGAACGATATCCTACCATTGTGCCGAAAGTAATCAGACCAACCAGCGCATTTGGAGGGAGAAGAGACAAGCTCATAATGAGCGAGTCCTTCACAGCCTGCAGGCTGTCATCTTCCTGGCAAGTATCGACGACAAAGACAAAGATCGGGGGAGCGGGGGCCGGCCGTGCCAATTGATACTCGATGGTTGTGCTCTGCGGGTGGAGTTCGGGGGGTATCGTGTTCTCCGTGATATCCTTGTAGTGCGGGGGAAGAGGATTGCGCGAGAGACAGAAAGGACAGATCCAGATTCGTGCGCGGACATCCACAGTGCTTGCTCAAGATCAGTTCCTATCCAATCCGGGGTATCGCCTGTACATACGCATATGGGTTCAGTACAGCTCGGCAGGGCTGCTTGCAAGTGACGGGCTCATATTGGAGCAATGGGTTGTCGGGCTTCTCCTTCAAAGGTGTGTACACGGCGGCAATAGGAACGACCAGGCGGGATGCTTCCTGTATCAAGTCTCAGTGGATGATGCGGTGAAGGTCAGGGTCGATATCACGAACCATACGAGTGCTGGGGAAGGTATTCCAGCTGAGTCTGATACCATCGCGGTCCTCCACATCACTCCATTGATCCTTCAGCGCCTCGAAATCCATGTTGTCGGTAGATGTTCCGGATCTCGGTGTGTTGATCAAGAAGAGGGGGGCGGGTGAGAAGTCGCAAAGAAAGGGGAACTTCGGGTACTAGGGTTTACTCCAAGAAGCTAAGTAAGAGCACCACCCGGAGCATAATCCACCAGAAAGAAAAGAAAGAGCCCCGTAATTAGCTAGGGATTGGGTTGAAGTGGAGGAGTATGTTGTGTGAAGGTACGGCAGTAAGGCCAGGTTGCAGCACAACGGGTCTCTACCGCCCGCCGGACCAAAACATTCCTTAAAAACTCGGCGAGCCGCTGATCATTCTCTCTTCTTCATTCACGCCGACCAATATACGTGCAAACGTATATACTCAACAGCTTCGTCTTCTAATGATGTCGTTGTTCTCGCGGTGAGCGGAGATCGACTAGGCCCGTTGCTGGGCACCTGGTTTTGAAAGGTCATTCTGATCCTTTCGGATCTTCTGGGAATCAGCTGTGGTCACACTCCTTAGCTCTTCAGCTACCTTAGCTTAGCTATTGGTAGAATTATAGTCCAATTAATCAATATTTGCATATCCAATGCTTCCCTAAACGCCTATTGCCTATTGAAACATGCGAACTGCCCATAACCTCATGAAAATTTGACATGTGAGACTCAATTCTCCTTCGGCGCCCTAGCCATCTGCTTCAGAAGGAAGCTCCGCTTGAAATATGTGTTCGGGTGGACAATTGTATCAAGATCTGTCTGGCTCCACGTTCCATCCTCCTTGACCTTCTTGATCTCGTTCTTGTGCGTCGACTCGAAGACTCGGTTGCATGCAATGTGGTACCGCTGCTTGCCAACATCCTCGCGCACACCTCGCAGGGTCTCCTTATCATTGACACCTGTGGCCTGGAGGAAACCAACCAGGTTATCAACAGAGAAATGACGGTAGGGACAGCCGTGAGTCTGGCCAATGCCGGGGTTGGAATCGCCGAGGATCTTCTGGCACGAGTAGGGAGTATAGCCCTTTCCGCGACGGTTCACATCTCCGCCAACTTCACCATAGGCGTGGCGAATGTTGTATTTGTATTGGGAGTTGAATTCATCATCGGTTTTACCCTTGAACGACTGGCGCCAAAACAGAATACACTCCTCCAAGGATAAACCAATACCCTTTAGGAAAAGCGTATACTGGAGACGACCAAAGTGCTTTAGGTGGTTGTTCTTCCGCAAATTTACATGCAAGCTCCTCATGCACAGAGGGAAGTGTTGCTGCGCAAGCTGATCAATAGAGCTAGCTGTAATTGGTGCTCCGTCCACATATCCTTCGCCCTCGGAGTATACCGATTCGGCACTGCCGAAGTTCTTCGAGAGGTGATTCAGAATAGGTGTGAGACGATCATCCTCATCCAATCGGGGGAGAGCACGGCTCGTGAGCTAAAATATAATCAGCAACCTATCTTTCAATCCACTCCAGCAGACATACCTCAAGTGCACGCTCCAAGCGAGCAGTGAACTCAGCCATGATCATGCTCAGCTGTTCCCTTCCAGGAACATATGCCTTTCCTTTCTTCAAGTAAACTGACCGCCGTTCGATCAGCTCCGGCACCTTCTCCCAGTCGACTTTGTACCAAGTCTCCTCATCCACTCGATGCAGCCCCGGGGTCGAACTGGCCAGACTCTCCGCAACCTCAGTCCTCTCAAAGTCACTGACTGGCTCCCAGTCTAGACTTAGGCTATCAATAAATGCACGCTTCTCCCTTGAGTCGTCCAGCTGGAAACGGAATCTGAAGAGCATGGTCTCGGCGCGCGCGAATCGCCGACGGAGGTCCTCTGTAGCCGAGAAGGCCAATCGGAGGATAAAGTGGGAATAGTGGTCCTTTTGGCGCTCATTTTTCAAGCGCGGATCATTGGCGCCATTTGGGGAGGATGTGTTCGATGAAAGAGGGAGGAATTTCTGCAAAAGAGGCGTGATGTAGGTAGCCGTCTCCGCGGGAGATTTGTTGCGATAAGAGCATGCTTCGATCTCGGCGAGGACTGACTGCGCGTTAGTAGATTGGAAACTTCAAGGTCATGCAGTGAGGCATACTCTTCAGTCTGTCAAT